ATACAATAAAAAAAAAAAAAAAAAAAATTCGAGTCTCTTTTATTATTTTGATGCTTTTCTAACAGCATTCAAATAAAACTGTATATGTTAGAAATTATGGGGAAAAATAATAAAATTATTTTATTAATCATCAAAACAAGGGGCCTATATATAGGCAATACAAAACAGTCTTGATAGACTTAAATCTAAGTAATCTAATATATGAATAAGACTAAATCTAAATATAAATTTACTAAATCTAAAATCGAATATTTAAAACATCTCTAACATATCTCAACATCCCCCCTCAAATTCAAGTGGGTGCCGTAGAAACCAACTTGAGTTTGTCCAAAAGCAATCAGAAGCGGCTGAGAAGAAGAGACTTGGTGAAAATATCTGTTGTCTGATCTGCGGAGGAGAGCGAAACGAGATGGACAGCACCACTGACGACATGTTGTCGAATGAAGTGACAGTCAAGCTCAATATGCTTGGTGTGCTCTTGAAAAGTATCATTGTGGGCCATCTTTATAGCACTCTAACTGTCGTAGTGAAGAGCCATAGAAGATGACTGAGGAACACCAAGATCATTGAGTAATCGACAAAGCCATAAAAGTTCTGACGTAGAGTCAGCAAGGGCACGATACTCCGACTCGGCACTCGATCGAGAAACTAAAGTCTGCTTCTTGTTGTGCTAAGAGACGAGAGAATCACCCAGGAAGAAGCAGAAACCAGTAGTGGAACAACGATCAGTAAGATCACCAGCCCAATCAACATCAGAGTAATCACTGAGAGTCAAAGACGAGTGAGAGGAAAAATGTAAACCATGCAGGAGAGTACCTTTCACATAACGAAGAATATGAAACGGCAGAGTGGTGAGGGGTTCTCGGAGTGGCCATGAACTAATTCACAATATGAACTGCATGAGCGATATCTGGTTGAGTGACAGTCATGTAGATCAAGCTCCCAACAAGTTGACGATAGAGGGTAGGGTCATCAAGAAGAGCGCCATCATGCGGAGTAAGTCGAACGTCGTAGGAAAGTGGTGTAGAGGCTACCGGACAATCTGTGAGACCAGCTCGAGCAAGGAGATCGGAGACATACTTAGCCTGAGAGAAAAAGAGACCATCGAAAGAATTAGAGACTTCAAGCCCCAAGAAGTAACGAAGGGGACCTAACCTCTTCATCTCAAACTGCTGGCTAAGATATGTCTGTAGATCAAAAATACCAGACACATCATCTCCCGTGATAATCATATCATTAACATAAAGCAAGAGTATAATTATCCCAAATTAAGAACGATGAAGACATAGGCCAGAGTCTTACACACATGTGGTAAAATTAAACTCCAATAGTGCAGCACTAAATGTGGCATACCAACTCAGGGAGGCCTGCTTCAACCCATATAAAGCGCGACGTAAGCGTCAAACCTTTCCAGAGGACGAGAAACCTGGAGGGGGAGTCATATAAAATTCTTCAGAAAGTGAGCCATGTAAGAATGCATTCTTGACATCTAACTGAATAAGAGACCACTGACGAGCAGCAACAACGGCAAAAAGACAACGAACAGTAGTGAGACGAGCAACGGGAGCAAAAATCTCCTCATAGTCAACTCCATACTCCTGGGAATAACCTTTGGCCACCAGACGAGCCTTGTAGCGCTCAATGGAACAATCAGAATTAGTCTTGATTTTGAAAACCCATTTGCACCCAATAGGTGTCTTGCTAGAAGCCAAATTCACTAAATCCCAAGTGTGAGTTTTTGCCAGAGCCTCCAATTCCTCAGTTATAACTTGCTGCTATAATGGATCAACACTCGCCTCACGAAATGACCTAGGCTCATTATGAGATAATATGGCAGAGTAACAATGATAATCATGCAAGTGAGGAGGAGGGTGACTCACTCTATGTGATTGACGAGGTATGACAGGTCCAGGGACTGCAGACAGATCATTATATGGAGACAAGGTCGGAGGTAGATCAGAAGCCTCAACTGGAGGTGGATCAGAAGCCTCAACTGGAACAGGATACGGAGGTGGTGATGGAGCCGTAGGATCAGGATCGGGAAACAAGGGAAGACATGTCGACAGAAAGGAAGGTGAACCACGAATAGATGGGACATGAAATTTAGACATGGTAGAAAACGTGATACTCTCCCAAAAGGTAACATGACGAGATATACGCAACCGTTTAGAAACCGGATCACAAAGCCTATAACCTTTATGCTCATACCCATAACCAAGAAGACAACATACATGCGCACAAGATTCCAATTTGGAATGTTCATATAGAGGGATAGCGACAAAACCGACACAACCGAAAGAACGAAGGGTACTATAATCAGGTGGTTGACTGTATAGATGCTCGAAATGGGTGCTATTATAGAGGACAGATCATGTAATACAATTTATGGTATAGACAGCAGTGAGGGCGGCTTCTCCCCAGAACCTATCAGGACAAGAAACGGACAAAAGGGATGCACAAACAATATATAGAATGTGACGATGTTTGCGCTCAGTGCGACCATTCTGCTGAGAGGTGTATGGAGAGGAACGCTGAATCACTGTACTTGAGCAGAGAAAAAACTTAATAAGATAGAATCTCTATACTCAAGGGCATTATTAGTACGGAGGGTCTGTATAGGACAAGAAAATTGAGTTCGAACTATTTGAGCAAATTGAATGTATGTTTGAGGTAATTCTGAACAGTGTTTCAAAAAATATATCCATGTAAAACAGGAGTAATCATCTATAAAAATGACATAATAACAACACCCACCCACAGAGGGAACAGGGAAAGGACCCCAAATATCATAATGAACTAAGGAAAACGGTTTACTTGCGACCGACATACTTTCTGAAAAAGATAAGGCTGGTTGTTTTCCCAAAATGACAGTGTAAGCAATCAAATGACTCAAAACGAGTAGGACCTAAATGACCCTTACTAACGAGAGACTGAATTTTAGAGGAAGACGCATGACCAAGATGAAGGTGCCATTGAAGACTAGGGGAAGAAAATATATTAATAGGGGTATGAGTAGTAGCAACAGAGAAATTACTTTGAGGAATTTTCAAAGATTGTACCTCAAATAGTTGATCCACTTTTCGACCTGTCCCAAGAATTTGACCCGCATGTGGATCCTGAACTTGCACACCAGAAGAATATAAGGTAACAGTGAGTCCTTACTCAACTAATTAGCCAACTGATACAAGATTTAAAGTAAATTGAGGAATACAGTAAGTATCAGGAAAAGATATAAATAGTAGAAATACAGATCCTGAATGAGTGATATCCATGCGACTTCCATTAGCAATATGTATAGGCAATGAATGAGACACAAGATGTGCATCAGTCAAGAGACCAAGTGTAGGTGTCATATGATGGCAACAACCAGAATCAAAATACCACGAATTTTTCATAACAGAAGGAGAATTGGAAGCAAGAACTTGATGCAAGAGAGTCACGAGATTCTGGACTGAGAAAGCCATGACAAATAAACTCAGATGACAAAACCAATCACGCCAGTATAAATCAAGAAATCAAATCGAACAATCCAACCAGTAACAGCGCAAAAAAAAATCAACTATGATGACAAAACCAACCACACCACAATCCACAATGCAGGAGGTGACAGCTGAAAAATGACAGCGGCGGCAAAAGTGTTTTCCTCCGCGATTTGATTTTTCGGTGGCAAGGTCGCCAGGCGATGGGGGTTCCAACAGTATGGGTGGTGTCGACTGGAGAGCGGCGATGGACGGCGAACAGCGGCGGCGGCGGCGGCTGCTAGGATTTTGGTTTTAAAAAATTGGGCTATGATATCATGTTAGAAATTGTGGGAAAAATAATGAAATTGTCTTATTAATCATCAAAATAAAGGACCTATATATAGGCAATACAAAATAGTCTTGATAGACTCAAATCTGAGTAATCTAATTATGGATAAGACCAAATCTAAATATAAATCTACTAAATCTAAAATCGAATGTTTAAAGTATCTCTAACATATCTCAACAGTGTACAATAAATAAATTTTTTAGGTCATAAAATGGATGCAGGGTAGACATTGCCATTGCTCTGCCCAAGCCAAACCATCCCCATTTTTTTTTTCTCTCTTGCGCCCTTCTTTCTCTCGCAAACACCAGTGGGGAGGGAGAGTTGTTGTGTTGTCGCTGTCGAGTCTGGTGTATTGGAGCTACCATTGAGTTTCTAGTGTAGGCCGAGGGCTACCGTCTCCCCGAGTTGCCTTTGCCATCGAATTGCTGGTGTGGAAAAGGAGAACTACCATCTTGTAGGATGGGAGAGTTTCTATTGTGAGGAGGAATAATATCGTCACTAGCGAGTTTTTGGTATGGGAAATGAGAGCTATCTTTGTATGGAGAGGGAGAGACGCGGCCGCTTGCAAATTTCTACCGTGGGAAAAAAGAAAAATAATAGTACTTTATTTAAAAGTTTTTAATTAAATTAATTTTTTGGTATGAAAAATAAAAGCTATCTTCTTTTAATTAAATTAAATTTTTTTATAAAAAAATAATAGTACTTCATTTAAAAGTTTTTTTCTTTTTTGTTTTTTTTTTACAATTGTATTTAGCTATTATGCATTTATTTATTATTCCAGACTAAGTCATAAAATATAATTTGCGCACATCCTCCAAGAGAGACTTTTTATTTTATGTTCATTGTGTTCTCTTTTAATATTTGAGAGTGAAGCTAAAAAAAAAAACTTTCTATATAGAGAGTAAAATTATAATGATTTATGACACAAGCATTGAAATGAACTTATAAATAGTGTAGATACTACACTAATTTCAAAGTTGAAATTGCCTTCAAGAATGATTTCAACATGTAAATTGTTTTGAGACTAACATTACTCGTGATCGTGGGATCGTTAACTTTCAAGTCCTTCCCGCATATATAATTTGTATAATGTAATTTCTTGGTCTGATTTAATTTGCAAGCTATTAAGTTCGATTTAAAAATTTATCCAAAATATACTTAAAAAATAGTTGTTGCGACTTCTCTCGTCATAAATAAAAATAATAATAATAATAATAATAATCTATGTGCTTGTGGCCACCACCCACCCTACCGCACCCCACAAACAACATATATGATGTGGCTGTGACAGTAGTAGTATATATCAGTTAGTTCTTTTCCTTTTTGTTATTATTGATTTTCTTCTTCTTAATAATGAGCAAGAAGAAGGTGAAGGGCAGGGAGAGATGGGTTAGGGATTGATTTTTTCCGATGCCCAAAACTTGCTCATCTCATGATCAGGAGGTGCAGATGAGAACACTACCCTCTGATTGCTCTTCAAGTTTAGGTAGTCCACCTGCACCAACCAATTCAATTCAATGAATCAACCACACCAATCATCCATCCATCCATCCATCATATCAACATTTAATGAAAATTGAAAAATGAAAATGACAATGGAAATGGACCTGATCGGCTTCTAGCACCAGAAGGCAGAACGCAGCCACCGGTCCAGCACGAGGATCCAATGATGATCCCATTTCAAATGGTTGCCCTTGCCCTTCCCCATCCACACAAGGGAGTCCCGGTGTTGGTGCCATATACTGAAGTCTTGATTTCAGAGAACTCGCAAACCATGATCTCTCTCGTTCCTGTATTATTATTATTATTCATTCATTCATTCATTCAATAATAGGTACATATTTTAGCCCACAAGCTTGCAGATCAGATCCGTCAATACAATGCATCAACTGAAAACAAACTGAGGTTCAAGCTATGATCAGGAGAGGACTCAAGTATTATCACCACATATGACTCCTTTTAGGTTTGCAAGTATGTCCAGACAGGAGAATGGAAAATAAGGTGCAGGATCGATTGATTACCTCAAGTTTAGCAGGATTAGGATTTGTTCCGTCTATGATGTCTACAGTTCCACTAATGCGGAATTGCTCCCATGAGTCAGTGAAATACCAGCATACCTACATTGAAGTGAAATGGAGGATTCTTCAATTTGATAATTAACTACAAAAACAATCGCGATCCATTAATCATCTGAATGCATTATCGATACCTCGGCAAAGGGGCAATGCTTGAGCTCATCAATCTACAACCAACAGAAACAAAATAACAACATGATCAGCAATTTTGAGTTTGATCCTTTGAGGAGGCCAAGCCAGCACTTAACCATGGAACAAAAGTTAAAAAGAGTGCAGGAAAAATAGTCGAATATGGTGAGAAAAATTTGTAATTCGCCAGCAAGTTTCAAGCAAGCTCAGACAACTTGATGCAAAGCCCCCATTCTTCTTTGACAATGTCAGGTAATAGCTAGTTAAACACACGGTCATCTTTCTTGAAGTTGCTTACTGTTACTCCAGGCATTTTACTTGCTGACAGTCCAAGGTCAACAAGTTTGCTTCGTCACTTGAGGGCAAGTAGTTTGTTGCTACTTGCCCTTGTTTCAATTATGAGTACCTTGGGTATAGAGAATTGAATTGCCGAAAAATAATGATAGATAATAAATTTTTAAAAGGGAAGGAATGTAATAGAGAATGAGAATTGATGTTTTGTTTGAAATAATAAAGAATTTAATTGAGAAATATAAAAAGAATAAATTACTCATTAAGGAAAAATAATAAACTGGTAAGAAAAATATTGTTGAATTTATTTGGTTAGTTTTTATATTTAATAATAATTTAGATGTGATGTTTTATATTTGAACTTTCAATTATATCTCATCCAAATAAGAGAAATGGGAATATTTTCATTTTCCTAGCCCCATTTTTATGTTGCAAACACACCCTAGGTCTCTTCCATCCCTGTCTCTGCTTGCTTTCTTCCCATAGTTTACACCAATTGTGGCTAAAGCACAAACCTACATTCCCTCTGCAGTGTCTAAGCATTTCAGTATGAATTGCCCTCTCTCACCTGTCATTCTAAAAGTTGTATTTTTTATTTTTTCATGAACTTGTCCTACAGTGTATTTGTTCTTGTACATATATATATACACACACACTCTCTTACATACTCTTAGAAGGTATAGGTGATTTTCATTGTTATCTCCTTCCAGTGATTTCCTTAATATGTTCCCTTAATTTTGTAACAATGGATTCCTTCAATTATGAATGGATTTGTTACCTTGCACAAATACTGTTTTAATCAGTAGCGCGAGATCACACTGTCTGGTATAATTATCAGATGTAAGGGAAAAAAAAAAAAAAAAAAACAATTCGATGTACAGAGTTGATTGCAAAAAATCACTATTTAATGAAAAGTAGAAGAGGTTACCTTCCGAGAGCGAGTGTCGGTGTTGATTAGGATCTTGTCGCTGTCATCTTGAAATCCTCTGATCAGAACACGGAACCGAATCAATTTAGGAAAAGATATATACATACATACAATAGCTGTCCAAGATGAGGCAGAAACAAACCTGAAAACAACAGTGCGATTCGAGGGTTTTCCGGTGGATGAAACCGTTGCCTGAAAGAGAGGCGAAATCAAACAATTAGGATAAACACAGAAGAGGATTTCCAGACAAATTGGACAAAGATAATTAATCAATTAATGATTGTGTGCGGAGGAGCGTACAAGCTGGACGTATGAGTGATGCCTGAGGTGGGAATTGGCTTGGATTGAGGTGAGAAGGAGATGCTTCCATGGCGCGGCCGACGAACTGCCCATTCACTGCCGCTGCTGCCAGAACAGGAACAGCTGCTGCTTTATTTTCAACAATTCAATTTTGTTGGTTTGCCCATTGCGATGCCTGTCTGCCAACAGCGATACCATACACTCGAACTCGAACTCGAACTCGAACTCGTTGGTTGCATCAGACATCCATCGAACTCGAACTTGTTGGGCTGGATTACCTTCCGCACTTCAAAATTTCTTCACCCAAAGAGGAGAATATACGTACGGTTGTATCGGATTTTTCTTTTTATTTATTTAACTTTTTATAAGGCATGTAGGTTGTATTTAACTTTTTATAAGGCATGTAGGTTGAATTATTGTATTGTGGTCCTTTTGTTCTTTTTGTATTTGTTTTATTATCGTTGTTATGCTGCATAAAATCTACATGTGTTTTTATGAAATTACTTTAAATTTTTATATTTTTAAAATTGCGTGAGTATATGTGATACCCGAGTTTCTCACTACTTATTAGCCAATATATATTTAATCGTTTAGGTGCTGGTAAATTACTTATATGTTAACTGTGGTAGTTTAAATATACTTCATAAGTTCCATTAGGTTACTTGAGTACTAATTGTTTAATTATATATTTTGTTTATATTATTTATGTGTTAATTTATAATTAGTTTAGGATAATCCATACTTTGAGTGCACTTTATATTATTTATACGTCACTAGTGATGTTAGGTTATTTATTTTACTATTGAATGTTAAATTGTTTATAATTTGGTGTATGCTTTACTTGTTTATTAATAAGAAAATATTATCATAATTTATTTGAGATTCTAGTAATTATTTGGATATTAGTGGTGTAAATTAAATATAGATTATTGAAAATTCATTGTAATAATTAAATAAAAAGTAAAATAAATAGAATAAATAAATAAATAAATAAATAAAAAATAATAAATAATAATAATAATAATAATAATAACAATAATAATAATAAATAAAAAGTAAGGCGGTTGGGGGTAATAATCCCCACCCCCACCTCATCCATATCAATTCATTCATATCGATTGAGGGAGAAAGGCAACGCGAAGAAAAAAATAAAATAAAATAAAAATAAAAAAAAATTTTACGCCGAATTCATTAAAAACCTAATTCAATTATTTCTTTGTGTATACGAATTATTGCTATTTTTATTAAGTAGAAGAAGTTTTGAGTAGAAATAATTATTTAGTAAATTGGGTTAATATTTGTAATTAATTATTGTTCACTACAAGAAAAAATCATTTTTGTAACAAAACTTTTTTGTCTCTAAATCTATTATTTCCGTTACTAATGACATTAGAGACGGAATTAGGAATAGAATTACGTTAGTTACGTGAACTTTAAGGACGAAATTCCGTTACAAATAAATTATTTTTTTGTAGTGGTTAGATACGATACTGGAATCGTGAAAAGGACTGTAAGAGTTAGAGTTATTGACGTTTTTGGCGAATTTCAGGTAAATAGAAATTCATTTGCAACTACAATGCATAAATATATTATTTTGTGAGTTAATTATGTTTGATTGATAATATGTGAATATCAGAAAACTGTAATATGTGATTAATATTTTGTGATTATGCGGTTTGAGCCTGCTAGCTCCGTATATAAATTGGTTTCAGTCTGTGAGCTCTGTATGTGATATGGTTGAGCCTGTGAACTCTATATTTGATGTTGAAGGAGTCTGTGAGCTCCAAACTTGATGTGGTTTGAACCAGTGAGTTCAATAATATATGTATATTGTGAAATATGTTACATTGCATTATTAAGCATGCATATCATGCATTGAAATGAAATAAGATGGTTTTACTATGTTAGACCGCTGATTATACACCGAGGGCGGGAGAGGCGACCTGGGAAGAAGCGACCTGGGGAAATCTGGTGTAGGCTACCTGGTGTAGGCCACCGTCTATTGTGACTTTACATACAATACATAAACAATGTATTCGGAAGAGGCGACCTGGGAAGAAGCGACCCGGGGAAATCTTGCGAGGAAACCCGGTGTAGGCTACCTGGTGTAGGCCACCGTTTGATTTGAATATGTGAATATTGAGCTCTTTCCGGTGTATAGCAGTGTGTCTAGGAGTCCTTGAGAGTATTTCATAAATAAATTGGTGATTTCAAACGAGAGCACATTCTGCATAGTGAGAATTTTGAGATAAACTTCATATCATGCATAATTTCTACTTGTGGAGATTTATAAATCTCACTCAGTTTATGCATTGTAGGTAATCCTGATGATATATGACTTGATGGTCAAACTGGAGTAGCCGTGGCGCTCTTACAGGCATCTTGAGTTACCGTTTACATAGATGACGACTTGTGGGCAGGACCGTTGCTTGTTTTGCTTCCGTTGTTCTATATTGCATCTGTTTTAGAAGGGGTATGGTGTTGTTATAAATAGTATGTCGATTGTGTAGTTTTTTATATGGTTTAAGATCCTTTTAGTGAATGTTAACATGTTGTTATATATGTAAGTAATTAAGAGGGATTATAGCATGTTTGTCATTTACTTATTTGTGAATTGACGTTAGTAGTATAGTGTAAGTGTGGTCGTGTCAGTCTAACTTTCTTCGACGGTCCTTATTTAACTCTATTTGACCTAAATGCATTCAAATTACGAATAAATTTTAAAATCTCAATTTCAAAATACCTAAAATTACAAATATATTTATTTTTCTTATATTTAGCATCAGAAAACATTAAAAATAAACTCTTAAAACTGAGAAAAATAACTATTTTTTAGTATATTTACTATTTGTTGAGGCGAAATATAAGAAAAATGAATATATTTTTAATTTTAGAGATTTAGAAATAGAGATTTTAAAATTTATTCGAAGTTTGAGCTCATTTAGGTCAAATACTGTTAAATAAGAACCACCGAGGGGTTAGACGCAGAGTTTATAAAATCACAAGGGATTTTGACGCAATTTTAAAAGTATAAGAAATTTGGCGTAATTTTATGAAACCACATATAAATTTTATACAATTTAATCTTTTTTTTTTTATGATATCGGATATTTTTATGATTATTTATTTAAAAGCGTAATATGGTTTGTATAAAATATTTTAAAAAAATAATTTGAACTACCATTTGTAACATTATTATATTAATTTATTTACCTCTTTACGAGCGTCATATGAATATTTAAATTATTATTTTAGCACATGAACTAGCTTTTAGTATTTTATATATGGACATAATAAATTTCTTATTTATATATATTTGTATCGTCTAATACTAATATATAACACAATATTTATAATATATAATATTATATTTTAATTTTAAGTATTAATTTATATTTTCTTCGTCCCATTAAAAAGGTTTACGTTATACACACGCGAATTTAGGTAAAATATAATTAATAAGTAATTAAAAATTTATTAGTAAAAATAATTATTGTATTATAAAAATAATTATAAATTAATATTAAAATAACTAATTAGTTTAGTTAAAATAAAAAATTATAAATTATAAACTTTAAATGTTGGATAATCGGTGAAATTTTATTGTTAGAAAATTAAATTCGGAATTTACATAACTGATTAATCGGTGAGTGAAAATGCGATAGGTCGGTGAACCAAATTAATTGGATTAATTTGAATGAAATAGATAAATATTATATTGGATATAGGGCTTTGTTAATATTTTAGTTATTTTGCTCGTCTCGAGACAAACCAAATTTTGCAACCCTAAGCTAAATCCGGATATAAGGCCTAAGTCGCAGGATTATCTGGATAAAATCTTATCCAACGGATATATTTATTATAATCTCAAACAAAAGGTTTGAAATTATAAAAAATTATGATCATTTCAAACGAAAAGTTTGAAATTGGAATTAGTTATGACAACTTCAAACGGAAAGTTTGAAATCAGAATAAATTACATCAGTAATTAAGTTCGTAATTATGATCGTAATTGATCCCCTACCTTTTAGGACGAATGGAGACGCCTATATAAAGGGTCTCCCTTATTATTCTAAAAACACAACACCAACATCATCTCCTCATCATCTTCTCTCTTCTAACTTTTCGGCAACGTTCCCAACTCAGTTTCCCCCTCGTTTTGTTCGCTGGAGCTCCAACGATCTAAGGTGTCACTCTCATCGGAGACGGAACTGTTTTATCTTTGGGTTAGAATGTAGGGCACCAAAGGCACTACTATGGCGTATCTAATTTTCAAAAAGAGGATTCATCATCGACTCGATTTTATGGTACATTAATTTCTTGCAATATCTATTTAATAATAATTAAAAATTAGATACTATATTGCGAGAATGTCAATCCCTGATGGAGCCGCCACCGGAGCTGTCGCCGGAGCTGCCACTGCTAGAGGAGTCGCCAGAGCTGTTGCCGGAGTTGCTGCTCCCCCAATTGGGCCAGTTCACTTTATAGTTAGCCCTGTATTTTCTGGATTTGCTCCAAGTGGATGTGGAGGTTTTCCTGGGTCTGTGGCTGCACCCTCCGCTGCTTTCGCGGCCCAAATTACTGGTCCTGGATTCGGCCCACGGATGATACCCCACGTACCAGTTCCAAAACCATTTACTTGACTGGACTTTAAGAAATGGCATAATAATATGCTCTTCTACTTGACCACGATTGAGTTTGTCATGTTCGTACTGCACGATGGCCCAACAACCCCAAATTCCAATGCAGATCACCAGATGTATGCGAATTATGTATCGTTGGCACATGGAGACTACATGACAAGGAACACCATATTGGGTAGTCTTTTTAACTTTCTTTATAATGTATACTGTAAAATAAAGTGCGAAAGGGTTGTGGGATACCCTTGAGAAAAATATAAGTTTGAGAATGACGGGTCTAAAGTATTTGTTGTGGCCCGGTTTATGGACTATAAAATGGTAGATGGCAAGTATGACGTTGAACAAGGGGAAGAATTTCAACATATTGTCCACTCTCTTATCGACAATGAGATGCCACTGCCAGAAAAGTTCCTCACAAGTGTGTTGATTGAGAAATTGCCCCCGAATTAGAGCAACATCAAGTACGGGCTGAAATATGAGCTAAAGCAAGTGGGGCTTGAAGATCTGATTGTCCGAATCCAGATCGAGGAGGAAAACAGAAAATAGCATAAGGCTAAAGACATAGATATTCCCAAAGCATCGAGGAGGACAACAGAAAATAGCATAAGGCTAAAGACAGAGATATTCCCAAAGCCAACTTGGTCCCTCTAAGAAACATGTCCGCCCAATTCAAACAGATAAGGGCAAAGGTATGACCAAACAATCCAAGTTTACAGATAACTGTTTT